TGGTAGATGAACTTTGCGCTCACTGACGTTGCAGCGTGAGCACTGCTCCTCGGCACGAGCAAAGGTGGTGGGTGGACTCGATATTCGTCGCGAGCGTCTGTCAATCAAACTGATGGATGCGTGAACTCGGATACAAACTCGTTGATTCTGAGAAGGCCCAAGTTCAACTCATAACTGTGATGGCGCCGGTGTGACTGTTAAGCGTTGCACGCGGTGAACGCTACACGGTCACAGAGTGAGAGAGCATCCCTGCGCACATGCGACAGCCTTTTTATCCCTCTCTGTCCATGCACATGCTTCTGAAACGCCGACTGCATGTCACAGCGTTCATGTGAGACGCGAACCACATGTCACTGGCACACCGGTGTGCGTTCCTTGCAGTGCACTTGGGAGTGTTTCCGCATTCTTGTGGGACGCAGACAGCGTTCTCGCCGACGAGCACCACTTGAGAGAGCCCAGCTGATGGGTGTCTCTTGCACTGCCAGTCCCCAGTCATGACAGGGTGCGCGTCTGCACTCAGTGGAACGACAAACAAATGAAAGAAGATGTGTCTGGGTTGAAAACATCGCCCAACTTAGTCGACCGACCTTGACGCGATGCTTAGTTTCATCGTAACCAATGAAACGCAGTGCGGTGAGGGGTGGCTTTGACGTTTTCGTACCGTTGGCTCGTTCGTAAGGGGGTGTCGCCAGAGCTCGGGAAAATCATGAGTTTCACAAAACTCGGTCGATTTTGCAAAGCGCCCTGAACTGGACACCCAAACATCTTACATCAATGTTCTGCATGCTCTAATATATGCCGCCAGCATGTGGCATTCTGAAGACGCTAACCTGCCCGCATAGCCTCCAGACCTCTTTTTTCCTTGTTTATAATTTATCAGCGCAATGTGTGGCGAACAGAACATTGTAACCACAATACTTGGTTTCAGCACGCGGAACTCGTTAAGGCGCGGGCTGACACACGTGATGGAAGCACCAGCATGCTGTTGCGCCTTCTGGAGGCTGTATTGTAAAATCTTTCAGCCTCGCTGCCTCGTTCATGACACTACGAAAATCTTTCTAGCCACTTAGTTGTACAGCCATCGCAGCATACGCACTTGGGCTCTGAGACATAATCACAAAACTTCAAACTAGGCCACCACGACCATTAGAACTTGCTTCGTGTACAAATGTGTTTTTGCACCTTGACGCAGTTCATCGACCACTTCAACCATCCTACGACAGATCATTCAGAGTGATACGTCGATAAGAAGAGCAATTAACTATCAACGTGCATGGTCCTCACGAAGTTGTCTCACTGGATTGATTGAAACCAGTGCACATTGAAGATGCAGACACTGTTTCATCCTTCATCTGTGAGTTCAACCTCCAAGGCAGTGCTCGTTCAAAGACACGCAGTGGACAGGTCTCCAAGGCGCCCCATCGTATAGATTTGTGAAAAATGTGAATCGTGCTATGAATGTTCATTAACTCACAGGAAAGGTAAATGATGTGGCGGCCTCACGGTCGCACAGCAGCAGCCAAGCACCATTTACCATCTTTTCGGTGAAATATTAGTGAGTTGCATGTGGGAAAGAGAAGTGGTGGGAGGGTCCGCGACCGAGCCATAGTGGCCGCACAGTTGATGAAATAAAGTTAGTGTGTTGTTTGACCTTCAGGGATGCGCTACTCGCTTCTCTGTCCTGATTTGCAGCTGCGCTCGCGTCCCGCACAACAGGAGCAATAAAATTTAGTTTTGAAGCATACTTCTAGAATCAAACATCACTGTTAGGTAATTAAAAATTTTGCTTTCTGGTAAACACAAAAAATTTCTGTAGTATTTTTCTGCACTGTGTGTGTTTGATGCCTGGGTGTGCGTGTGCATGAATGTGCCATGAGTTTGCGCTCAAATTAGTTTTTTGAAAACTAACTTATGTATGCTCTGGTCATTGATGCGCCAGAGCCTCCATGAGAACCCCGAGAAAAATTGGATGCGCTAGATTTAGGATAGAGTTTCCTAAGTATACCTTAGAGGGAACTCTGGTGCTAGTGTCTATGGGAGCTGCAACGCGCGGCGCTTCAGCGAGCATGGGAATGATGGGTAGTAGATGGATTTGTCTATTCTTCGTAGTTCTGGCTTTGTGTGTGTTCGTGTGGCTTGTAGTTGTCTTCTCATGAAACGAAAATCAGCAAATGTTCAGCGGTTGAGCTTCACCACCTTATTCTTTTAGGCTTACCATTTCTAATTGGGTCACGAAGTTCAAAAGGGTTCGTTCTTTCCTTCAAAACAAAACCAAAACACAGAATTAAACGAAACCAGAAGTGTGATTCGCCGCCTTCAAGTATGAAGACTAGGCAAATTCGTGTAGTACCCGTCATTCCCATGGTCGCTGAACGACTGCAGCGCCAAAGTACCCTCTAGTTAATTTTAGGAAACTCTATGGCTGCGCCATTGCTAGGCAAAGGCGCACAAAGTTTTTTCATTGTGATAGAAATTATATGGACACTCGATGGATTTTTGCCGTCGCCACTATGTTCCAGTAAACTCCAAGTTGATAACATCCCTTGCGCATCGTATCTTCTACCCGCAGGTAAAATCACCCGAGCGGGGGCAACGAGCGCTGCTCAACCAGAGATTAAACGAAGTGACCGATCTCCGTCGCTCGGAAGCCGCACGCGATAGCATCCCGCCGCGTGTTAGACCTACCGTCCAACGCTCAAGCAGAGAGGAAACACATCGCCCGTCTTGAACGAGCATGATAAGATATGGGTAGGTAGGAAGAGCACGTGTCGCTTGAGCAGCAGCTGTAAACTTTCATTCTAAGGCTGCGGTCACCATCGATGGTGCAAGAGCTATCTCGGCAAGCATCAGCGCACGGCTTTTACATCTTTCTTCGTGGTGCACTCTCAACAGGAAGAAATTGTGCGAAAAAAGCATTTGTCCTTGGAGCGAAGGCACATTAAAGAACAATAGTCTTTCCTGGGATACTTTGACACAGACATTTTTGTCAGTCTGTCCGTCCTGTTTCTGTCCAATCAACCAAGGGGGAGGGGACGAGCCTGCACTTTAACAAGAAGCCCCTACTCACCGATTTTTTCACGCAGAATGTCAAATAAACATTTCATTCTTTCTTTCCAGACAAAAGACAATCGTCTTTCAATGACCTTTGGCAGTGAAGCACTCAGATATGCTGCCAATTTTTTTCTATTACACCAGCATTTTCGGATCCAAAAGAGTTAGCTGTCAGTCCTACTTCGTATTTTAATGGGGTCGTGACGTTGAAGAAAGCAGCAGTCGCCGTTTTCAGTGAACTTTTTATTTGGGCGTACTTGAACCCAGAAAACGAAACGTCACTCTGCAAGTAATACACGCTGTGAACCGATAGCAGGGAACAAAGAGCATCAGCCGTCAATAATCTGCCAAGCAGTGAAGCGTGTCGGCACGCCATCGAAGATGCCAGCGTTATCGCTAGCAGCCGTGTCCGTTCCAAAACAAACTATAGTAGACTCTCGATAATTGAAACTCTGACAAATAATGCTTTCAGTTAATTCAAGCAAAACTCAATTTTTTGGTTGGCCTTCTATTCTTTCAATGTATTTAAAAACCTCTTAATTCAAACTCCATCATTAGGTCAATTCATATATATATTTGCAGGTCTATAGCAGAAAATATCTGCGGCTTTCACACTATTATTTAAAAATTTGTGTGCTTACGTAATCCTAACAGTCTAAAATGAAAAATGAAAAACCCTCAGCGGGAGATTATGTATATATAGATGGTACCCAGTCATTTGGGCACGGTTACACAAGGCAGCATTAGAGATAGAATGGGGCAGTAACGAAAATAGGAAGAAAGGAGCACATGGGGCATTACCAATGCCACATTACAATTTTTGGCTATTGCATTCATCACTGTGCCGGGGAAACAGATTAATTTTTTTTTCAGTTATTACAATTCGGCGGTGCGGCGAATTTTTCGCAACGCCCCTGCCATCTAACTGCTTTGCTGTTAAACGATAAACTCACATAAATGAGGTCTGCACACAAATGCCACCTTAACATTAACAAGGCTCGCGCATTTTGCTCAAGCAGCGCAAGATTCATGCATAGTGCGAGCACCATGCATGAACCGAAATACAATGTGACCGAACCACACGGGATATGGTTGCAGCTGCGTCCTTTGTGTATCCAGAGTGCTTTGCTTGGTCAATGATAAGACTCCGCTAAATTTGGCGTCCCACACGCGAATTGCCATTTCGGCGCAGCAGGTCAAATGGGTGCAGAATGGCACAATAGATGCGGCACTTGCACTGCTGCTTTATTCAATGTTTACAAAAGTGACAGCTGACTGAAAAGCATCTTGAACACAGTTTCATTTTGGTATGCTCCTTTAAAAGGGTGGTGCCACAAATCTTGTGGCTCGCGCATTCTTTGCTGCAGGCGTGTCTTATAGCTCCAGAAAGCATGACACATGCACCAAGATTCATGTATTTGCACTAAATAATTTAATATCGCTTTATTTATATGAACATCTTTCGGTTTAAGTTTTTAGGTGTCGAGTTGCACAGTGATATAGCAGTGTAGGTAGTGTCAACACGTGACCACACAAGCCCCTGTAAAACAAATGTGCTGACAGTTGCCATGGCTAGTCACAGCATCACAGCAACGATATAGCAACCGATGCTTTGCTGGTACATACGTTGCAGCAGTCCGGAGGTCACCTGCATCACTACAGATCTCACGTGGTGTCATTACAAGTTTCGTTGCCCTTCCTACAGAGTTACGTCACTGTTGATCGCATTAGCGACGGGTCTCGATTGCAAGAATGAGAATTTAAGTACCCTTTGGAAGTGAACTAAGATATGTTCTAAATGTTTGCTGTATCCAACCCTACATGTGGAGTTTCCTTGCATCCAGCGGAAACTCACAACAACCTTTTTATAGCTTCGAAATTTGATGGCACCATAGTTTCAAATCAATGCAATGTGCCAAATGGCCAGTGCAACAGAAGCAACAACTCACCTGTCACCTCGGTCGAGACAGGCTTTTCGATGACACGGCCAAAAAAGTCGACGGATGCCTGCACATTTCAAAAACTATGTTTGAGTGTATTTCATCAATAATAAGATCTTCCTTTTCACAAGTCAATATTGTAATACCAGCAAACTGCATACCACTGCAAATGGTTAAACTCGAAGCCTTATATTATGTATGCATCTCTACACTATATATCTGTTCATGACAAGGCAACTATAGGGCAGCTAACACAACCTGTTGAATTGGAATGCCTTTCACACACAGCGTTTTTCAGGCCAAGCAACATTTTCACAGTCATTATGTAATTGGTCATGCTTCCATAAATGCAAATGAAAAAAAAAATAAAAGGGGCCAAGTGTTTGAGTACAGTCACCCTTCGAATGTAGTTATGTCTCACCCTTGATGATGGCTCAACAATCTTTGGTGCCGGCTCCAGTGTTGGTACTCCCCCAGTACTAACAGATGCTGCTGTAGGATTCCTTGCACGTTGTTCTTGCACCGCGTCACTTTTCCTCATTTTCTCCAGTTCTAACTGAAAGGAGTCGTACAAGACGCATAACAATATGAGTAAATTCCACATCATGCCATGTACTGTCCTGTAATTTTGTCTGAATGTCCATACGCATGAACAAGCGTGTTTGCTTCAAGGCAGCATTTGTCAAACCGTGGCCCGCAAGCCTCCAGGAGTTTCAGAATGATTTCAAACAAACAGTGAGTGGGCAAGTAAAACATGTAGCGTGATGCTTGAGCTGGTAAAGCTACCTCACAGTGAAACACATGGGGAGGTATTTAGAAGGACCCATCATAAGCCGCATTCCCCGGTTTTATTAGGATTAAACAGAAAACCAGAAACAGGATTGTTGTTGAGACTAGCTGCAATTTTTGCCCTACACCACACCACATGGCTTGTGCAAGGGAGACCCCAACAATCCCCATATCCAAAACGCAACACATTAGCTATGGGGGAGATAGTGCTGGCCAGCTCAACAGTGAAAGGCCTGCAAAATCCGATTGCCAAGATAAAAAGTGTTGGCAATGCCACATGGACTCTGGGCTGAGGGCTCCAGACAACATGGGTGGAGCTCTCACTTTAACATTGCACGCAGTGATGTAATTAGATAGGACGGCACCCATGACAAATATATTTCCACGCCCCTCGTGATGGTAATTAGAGTGACTATTACTATTATTATTATTATTATTATTATTATTATTATTATTATTATTTAGGTGATAAAAAATTACACCATCTTCCGCTAAAGAGAGCCATGCGTGTGAGTGCGAACCAGTGGGGAGATGGTGAACGGCACCCACAGAAACCCGTCTACGTCGCCATAAGCACGTGCACCAACACTCGTAACCTCTACCTGACTACCGCTGCCAGTGATCATCGGTTCCATCATAAGAACGACAATGTGGACAAGAACATGATGGCCGAATCCACGCCTCGACAACTATCGTCTGGACACCATCACTCAGCGTTACCTCTAGCGCTTTCTTTGTCGCCGACTCGGGAGATGGGAAGCGTAGGAGAGGGAGAGGGTATGCGCATACGCAGTGGGGGTGTGGATGCAGTGGAAAGGAGGGAGGGACAATGCTCCTGCCATAAGCAGCTTCGCACATAAAAAGTCATCTGGCTGTCCTGGGCAAGCGAATGAACAACCTCTTGATTGATTGTCCATTACAGTGAACTAAAGCCATCTTGTACGCCCACGCATCATACGACCCACCAGAAGTCCACAAGGTTAGAAAAAACGTGAAAGAAGAAATGTCAGTATAATGGACCACCAACTTGCCCAGCGATCTGCTGAATGAAGAAATGGACCTTGCCGGTCACTTGTCTAATTTCCACGAATATACGAAGTTTGTAAATCACATGCAACTACACAAAAGAGAACAACAAAGTAGCATACAAAGGGTTTTTTAATTTAATCATGAAAAGTATTTTTCCAAATTACTTAATTCGTTAATCAAATCTGCATACTGTGCCTACTTCCTTTTGTCAATACTAATGATGCATTCTAAAATTAATTCTGGCAAAATAGCATGCATGCCAGTACAAATTTTGGTTGTGAACAATGATTTTAAACAAATAAATTCTATATATTTTACACATAACATGGCGCACATGTATTACAAAAGCAGCTGTCACTCTCCCATCATACATTTTCATCATCAGCTGCACTCTGGACCCATGGCCTCGAACATGTGACCCGCAGACCTCTCACCAGTGAACCCCAGCCTGCACGTGACAGTATTCATTGCACTTTTTCATTTTTTTTTTCCAATAAGTGTCGTCGTGAGCTACACAGGCCTAACTTGTCTAGAGCATTTTTTTTCCTCGGGGAAAACCTTGCAGTCAACATGTGTTGATGCAGATCTATGAAACAAAATTTTATATTTAAGAATTGTCCAGATTTTAGTCTTTTTAGAGGTAGGTTTAGTATGTTGTTGCAATCCCGGTGCCCAATCACCTTCAAAAATGACCGATGTGTGAGATAGCGCAAAATATTTCAAATAGCAACGGCAGGCATTCTAAAGATTTTAGCTTTTTGTGTGTGTGTTTTGTGGTGCTCTTTTGAAATTATATATTAACCAGATATGATGCTGATTACCATCTCATATAGTCACCGTAACCCACTCACATTGAGAGGGTTACGGTGACACGTGAAATTTACGGTGAATTTACACGTGGGTTACGGTGAAAACGTGAAATTTTGAGCTCTATTAGCAGAAAATAAAGTGACGTTGAAGCTTGACGCCTCATCAAAGCCAACAGTGATATCGATACTCGTTATCCACTAACAAGTCCAAAACCTTTAATGAACGGAATCAGGGAGCAATTTTTGTGAGTCTCCGAAATATAAAATGAAAACACAGCAACACTGTTTCTGTCAGTTATCCTGCATGGACAGGCATAGTCACGTACCGGGGGGCAATAAACAAGAGAATAACAGCATAACAAATCGGTCACATTTTGAAATATTCTGAACGGGAAAACCATAAATTCTGCAGGCACAACAAGCGGGAACCAGCCAAAGAATGAAACCAATACTAGCCAGCGCATCGTTGTACTAAAGCCTTAAAAAAATATTGAGAGACATTAGTGCAAGAAAAAAATTCCTCATGTTCTTGCAGTGTCACAGCACATGCCGAACAAGAGAAATGCTCGAAAAAGGCGCATGTTTTAAGCATACAGGCCATGACCTACATGTACGTAATCGGCTGTTTTGTGGCAGTAGCAGATGATGTACATGTACGTCCTTGACCCTTAGAGGGTTATTCCAAAAGACAGGGCATGCAAACACGGACACGAGAGGGAAGCCAGGACACTGCAAATGCCCTGACCTCCTTCTTTTGTCTGTGTTTGCATGGCCTGTCTCTTTTAGAATCAATATGTAACAACAATATCAGCTCTCTGTTAGTCAAAGGGTTAACTGGTGTTAGAAAGCAAGTGGTCTCTAAAGCCACTCAGCATAATGCTGACTGATTGGAATGTCACGTGCACTCAGGTATAACAAAACCACAAAGCATAACATTCAGGGTATACTAATTTGCCTGCCAAAGTTTTTTGACCATCAGAAATAAACCTACTTCTGTTTACAAGATTATATGCTGTACCTTTCTACTCAAACAGTTTCATTTGAAGACTACCCTAATACTTCCTTAAACTTCCCGAAATCCCACCTTCCCTACCTTTTATGCATATTCCAAACAAAACACATTGCCACTGAATCCACACTCGCATCAAAATATAAGTCGACAAGTTGCCAGGAGGGAAAACTATACTGGCGGTAGTGTTAATTGAGGTGGCAATATTTTGGCGGGATGCTGATAAAGCAAGCAGAAAAAAAGGCCATCACTTCTGCCTGTGGCAAGTACAAAACAATAAAATGTGGCTGCAGCGCCACAGTCAGTGCTTACCTCCCTAGCAATGATCTGCTTCGTAGCATACGGGAGCTGTAGCTGTTGTGGGATTCCAGGAAATTGCACAACCTCTTCAATGTTGCTGCAAGTTTTGAGAATGTCAGCTAAGATTAGCTGAATAATATGGTGTGAGGTGAAAAACGTTGAAGTTAATTCAGGAGACCCTGTGACACTTATAGAATGTGATAATGCTTCATAGTTGTTAAGGGGAGATGCGATTTAAAAAAAAAAGTTTCGTGAATCTGTAGGCTAAGGCAATCAAATTTTTTGCTCTACATATATGCTTTTATGTTTATTCCAAATATGTAATTAGTTCTGTTGTAAGTTGCACAGTTTTCGTTTTGTGCCATGACAATAGGTAAAATATACAGTTGAACACGGATATATCGAACTCGAAGGGAATCGCGAATTACTTCAATATATGAAAAATTCGCTATAAAAAATACAGGACCAAGAGCTTACCCGTAGAGATCCATTACCTACAATAGGCGCATTCAAGAATGACAGCTAATTCCACACATATGCCGCAACAAAATAATTTATTTACATGAAAAAAAATTGCTTATATTAGACTGCTTTTCTTTTTGAAATGAAGTTGAAAACAGTAGCCTCTATCTTATCAAGGCTGTCTCGGTGTGAGAGTTTGGTTCCCTCCATGTGGCCAATACCACAGCGAATGATGCCGAACGCTGCCACCACTTCAGTGGCGGAGTACCGCGTGTAGCCAGCGAGGCCTCGTTTGGACGATCCTTCTCCTCACTCGAGTTGTCGGCCTGAGCATCCTGGGTCCCTGCAACTGCAGCTACTATGTCCTCGTCAGCGAGGCTCGCAACGGCCTGCACATTGCAGTTCGCTTCCACGAAATCGTCCGCAGACACTGCGTGTGGAACTGCTGCCATAACGACAACTCGCGAAACGCGTCGTCTATGTGCTCGTCACTGCCGTCTTCACCGGTTTCCACAAGTTCCGCCATTTCGATGCCTGCCTTGAGGAAGCAGTTGACCACTGTGTCCATCTTCACATCTCACCAGGCACCCTTCATCATTTGTATGGCACCAAAAAAGTCAACCTTCAGCTCAGTGCCCATGCGGAGGTTGACTAGCAGCCTATCAAGGAGTCGCCTCCTGTAGCCCAACTTTAAGGACTTGATGATGCCCTGGTCAAGTGGTTGCAACTTCACCACGGTGTTGGCTGGCAGAAACTTCAGTTCAATGTCTTTGAGCTCGCAGGTGGTGTGGTGGGCTAAGCAGTTGTCCACAAGAAGGCAATCGCGACACCCCCACTTGCCCAGCTCGACTTCGCATGCTTGCAGCCATTCTGTGAACAGCTGACGTGTCATCCACGCCTTCTTGTTTGAGGCGTAGCTGACAGGGAGCTGCTTACAGTTTTTAAAGGGGTGCAGTGCCCTTGCTTTCCCGATCATAAAGGGCTGGAGCTTCCGAGACCCATCCATGTTGGCTGCTAGAATAACACTCACGCGAACTTTGGCCATTTAGCCCCCGTGACACGTGCTATCATAGATGTCGAGAGTCTTGCTTAGGAACATTTGCCAAAAAAAAAAAACGGTCTCGTCGGGAAAAACTTCGCCGAGATTTCCTGCCACTCCTTCGTCATCCACTGCGGGATGTCCTGGCTGCTGACAGCTTCGCTTTCGCCAGAAATGGTTTTGCCAACAATGTTGCAGTGCTGCTTCAATCAGTGAAGCCACCCGGTGTTGTCGGCGAGTACAGCGGCAAACCATTTGGCCTTGGCCATCAGCATCAGGCCATCCATCGGAGTGTTCCTCACGCGCACTTCTAAAAACCAGGAAGAGTGCCTTTTCTACATTCCCGTTGGCAGGTGCGCACACATGACATGCTCACAATGTTCGCTGACAAAGCATCCCAAAGTTGTCCACGACTGTTGAACATTTCTCGCCCGTCTCAATATGCTGAATAGCCTTCAACTTCGTCACAAAGTCAAGGGTCTTGCGCTTCTTCACGCTGGCCATAGCTACACGAGAAGTAGACAATTCGAGTCCGCAGCGGCTTTGCACACCACGCAGGCAAAAGAGGAATGCTGCACATGCGGAGGTACGTAGGCAATGCGACAACGAAAGCAACAAAGCGCTCGCAAGGCGATGGCCACCTGCTAGGGCAACAGCAAAAGAAGCGAGCTGTGGTTGGCTGATCAAAACTCTCAAAACAGTAACAAAAATAAAAGGCGAAAGGAGGAGAATGTTGGCTACTTCGTTCCTGCTCTCCGAGAAGACGGGTACGTGTAGAAAGCATGAGAGAGAGAGAGAAACGAAAAAAAAAAGGCGTTCCGCAAGTTAGAGACTGTGCAGTCTGAGCCCTCTCGCCCTTATTTTGTTTCGAGCGTTTCGGGTTTTGGCGAAGGCGTGGTACCGCGCAAAAGTTGCCAGGGTTGCGAGTGCGCCTTCCAACTCTTGCGTGGAGCTGCGCTGCCGTGGAGATCACAGGGCGCGGCGAGTGACGAAGAATACCTTCCAGCTCTCGCAGCATTCGATATATCCGAAGGCGGGTAAAAATATTGTTTGATATAAACATGTGAATTTCTATACATTTACAAAGGAATTTCAAACAGATAACTACCCGAAAATTCTAATATATGTGGGTTCGATATATCAGTATTTGACTGTAGTTCGTCTTGGAAAAACTTTTTATGCCATTAAACTTTTATGGTTCTGTGTTATTAATGGCTCATATTGTTTCTCATTAACTGTAGAATGCAAATAACTACAAGAAAAGTGCATATAATACACCTGTCACACGGCAAATATAATGTATTTGCAGCAAATGTCATTCGTTTGTAATACCGTTTGTTTGCTGTGAGACAGGGAAACTAATGCCATTTGATGAAAATGACATTTGCTGTCGAATGAGTTCTCGAAACACGTTTGCATTCGATTTCGGACTGAATGAGTAGTCTTGACGCCAGGCACTTTTAGGGAGATGACTGTTAACTTGTGTATACGCAACTTATATCATTTGTAAACATCTTCTTCTTTACTAGATCAACTCATTACTGGTTAGATGCATAATAGCACGCGTGAAAATTTGTAAAAAAAGAGCTAGTCTCAACTACGGTGGCTGGACGCCGGCCATGTTCCATTTTCGTCTGTAGTTGTTGCCTGTATCACGGATATTGATAGTCCAATTGCACGTGTTGTGGTGACAAAGGTGGTGACTTCACGAAATCGCTGCCGTGGTTTCATTTCTGCAGCTGGGAAAGCATGCGCCCAGCTTCAGTTCACTGTACTGACACCCAGTCATATCGTCGGCCATGTTTGTTTTTGAGTGTGTCATGCAGCTGTGACAAGTTGTGTAAAATGGCCGCGTTTATATTCTAGAAGCACCTTTTTACCCATAAAAATAATTTTTGTGGATGCACGCATACTACATGCAAGTTATAGTATACTTTTAGTTATCCCAAAATCCTCGGCTCAGGAGGGCTAAGGTCATGATCATCATTTTAAAATGGCATTTGTTTTTGTCGTGTGACAGCACTCAGGTAAAATGACATTAGGTTCGCTTAATATCATTCGTTGTAAATGACATTAGATCTGCCATGTGACAGGACTTTAGGACATTTTAATGGACAAGAAAAATGGTAATGTGAGAATTCCTAGAATTCTCAGCTCATACTAATAGCTTGCTTTAGCTTTGTAATAATTATACAGGCGATATCAAGTTTTAAAGGAGATACTTGCACCCTTCACAAGTTAAGGAATATCAGCGCAAAATTTCACATTGATCTGGCTATCAGAAGTAACAAAAACATAATGTATAATCTCAATAGACTGCCAAAAATGGATCTTGAGAAAATGCATTTTAAAGGTATAAATCACAGCTTATCTATGGGGCAAAAATATGCTTTATAAAGTGATTTCTTCCATCAAGAAAGCTTGGCAATCATTACTATTTTGAGCATGTGGCTTTAGTGCGAAATGCTATGGCACACAGCCAGATTACCATTTCAGGGGACTATATACAATGGGCTCTATTTTTTGGTAGCCACCTTGTGCTCTATAAAAGGGATTTTAGCCTTCTTCGACTTTAAATAATATCTTCAGCTTTTGTTGTGAAAGTAGAGATATTAAACTTGTGAAAGCAAATAAAATGAAAAATATGTAATTTGGGGAAAATCGACTCCCATCTCCTCCTAAACAATGCTTTTATGAACAGCAATTCACCACTTTTTAGAACAAGAAGCCAAGTATCTATGTTTTTGATCAAACACTAGCTTGCTCACATGAAGCACCAATAAGCATTGCATTGCTGACCCAATTTTTTTATATTTTGCTACAGAACAGTGCCTCCACGTCAGAACTCTTCGAGAAACTTGGACATCTTATTGACAATTAGTACTTTAACTGCCAAAACTGGATAGCACAAAGCACCGATCTCAGAGACTATGCCAGTTCTCAGGTTGACGAGCAGAGGCACACTAAGAAGAACAACCATTCACATCAGCATAGTTTGTAGTTATATTCTCAGTGGACCACCACATATGCAGTTCTAAATGTCTAATAGCATTGAAAACTCAAGTTTGTCATAATATGGGCAACTGTCTAAGATTGACCATGATTCTTGCTGTCATGTGTTTGTGTAGCCTCAGCAGAGCATTGAGAGGAAAATTTTCAGTTTTTATTCTTTTTGGCATCAAATTAAAGGCCGACCCTTCAAGACCCTAAAGATTGTACTGCTAAGTGTGAGTGCACCCTGATAAAGTAATTTCAGTTTGTTTTTAAAAGCTAGTTTTGGTTTATACTGTACACTGAAAAAGTAATCACAGTATGTTATTAAAAGCTAGTTTCAGTTCTTACACTATCCTGATGTCATAACACAGTATGACTTCCTTGTATGCATTCGCACCACTCAGAGCACCGGTGAAAGCGGCTAGCAGTTTTGCCTGTCAGTTTCCCAAAACGCAAGACCAAGCACGCAGCACACTACTCATCATTTTTTTAATTTTCCATTAAAATAATTCAAATATTTTTTTCTCGAAGTTCAAATACTTTGAATGATAGAATTCTGATGCAAATCAAATGGAATAGGAAACGCTATTCGAAATATATTCAAAAGTTCAAATATTCGCACATCTCTAAAGAAAAGCATTGGGTTACTCACGGTTCGAGGTTGTACTGGTAGACTCCATCAGCATTTCTTGTCTGCTGGTAGGTGATGCTGAGTGATGACATTACAGTAATCACCTGTTGCAGCTGCTGGCGCTCCTCTTTGCTAAATAACTGTGTGTTCACCTGGGATGGCAAGTCACAAGTACATTATGCATGCCACAACATAACAGAACCACATACCACACAGTTCTCACGGGCCAACCTAAGCCACCAGTAGTGCTACAACAAAAGCAGAATATTGATGAATAGAAGTAAGTGCTTTACTGTATGGGCATCAGGTAAAAAATGAGAACATGCACACTGTCACGAAGTTTATTTACGTACACACCTACTGGAAGGCCGAGGAATGCCAGAAGAGCGAGGAACGTCAACAGGCCGAAAATACAAACAAGCGCAAGCTCAGGTCACGCGTGTGCACCAACGCTGTGGCTTGCCGTTTCTTGCTGCTTCGTCGTCGTTCGCATAGTTCCCTACAACACTAAGGCCTCCATATATTCTTGGCTCACAGTAATTACATGACACAATGACGAATCTGGCCTTTTGGTGCACCAACTGCAGTGGAACACTGCGAATATTACAAATACTTCCAGCAAAATATAATATATTATAGCTCGCAATATATTACAGTAGACTCTCATTAAACAGAACCTGAAGGAACCACGAAAATAAGCTCCATTTAAGAGGAGTTCCGTTCACCGAGAGATGAACAAGAGCGCAGAACAGAAGCATGAAACCAATCTTCTAAAAGGACTTGTTTTTGGGCGACTTTGTGCTTACTTGGTGGAGATTACTGAGGCGCAACAAACATTTTGTGAAATAGGAGGAGCACAAGAGAAGAAAGAATAGCTTTGATTAATTGATTGATTGATTGATATATGGGGTTTAATGTCCCAAAGCCACCATATGATGACGAGAGACGCCGAAGTGGAGGGCTCCAAAAATTTCGACCACCTGGGATTCAAGAAAGAACAGCGCCAACTACCAACTGTTTAATGACAATCTAAGAAATGCAGCATTTCTTAGATTGTCATTAAACAGTTGGTAGTTGGCGCTGCTCTTTCTTCTCTTCTGCTCCTTCTGTTTCACGAAATGTTTTTGTGCCTCAGTCAACTGCACCAAGAAACCAATCTTGTCAGAAGCACTTGTTCCAATTAAGCAGCAGTGCCGTTTAACAGATTCCCATTGACTGAGAGTCTACTGTACAGCTAAATTTTGCTATGTTATACTGAGAGTTTTATAATAAATGGTGTCACGTACACAAACCTTATGTCACGTTGCCATATAGCACAAACCTTATGCAAGCACACATGCTTAAAATTAAGAAGGCAAGTTATCAGGCATTACATCAATGCCATCCTAATCTTACAATAGGTTCAAAGGAGCTTGTGCTGTAAGTGGCAAGCATGCAAACAAGAAGCAGCAGGTGGTAACAGCCAGGTGAGATTCCACCAAACGTCTTTGTCAAGGGTACTCATTGCAAATACTTAAAGGCAGATTCCTTGATGATGCAGTCAATGTTTTGTACCCTTCGTACAGTCATTGTCGCAAACAAACTTTGAAACAGTAGCTTTCTGAGCTGCACTGGCTTTGTGTCTTGCCACCTTTAACTGTGGTACAGTTGGTATACACTGCCACTGTAAAGAGTGGCAGTAGGGACTAACTGAGATATGAGACAAACTATGGGCACATCGCCATGTGGTAAAACACAACGGCACACCTAAGAACATGAGAAGGACCTATGGCTACCCTGCACTTCGTATAAATCACAATTACTATGAGATACTGCCAAGGCAAAACCCACCGGTCGAATCGCAGGCTGTACAATGCATAGCAACCAAGGTAGCACATCTCGGAGCAGTGTAGTCTCGGTCACAAAACAGCGAGACTGTAGTGATAATTCAGCAATCAGTGACACTAGGATGTTGTGCATCTGAGTCTTTTTGGCTCGTGCCTGGAAAAATGCAGGTAAAAAACCAGGCCACATGAATTCTTAACAAATACTGTCCCTACGGATGCAAGGTGCAGATGTGTCAGAAAAATAGAGTGAATGCTAACTTAAAGTAAGACCACAAAGAAATCAAATCATACAAAAATCAGTTTCGAGATTACAAGTGGCACCCAAAAGTAACTCGACTGGCACAACATTGGGCACACAATTCTCTTGCTAGGCAAGTGCCCTGCCACATCATTTAAGATCATTGCATTTCGAGCTGGTAATATTTTTCATGAAATCAATATTGTGCACTTGATGTTTTTTTTTCATAGCTCTTTTAAGTGAACTGTGTGTAAGTGTAAAAATTTGTCTTGGTGTAGTAAAATTAGCACTGTGATTGCTCACAAGTAACAACTCTGGAGTAAAAATCTGGGTCGCTTCAGAGCTGCAGACCTGCCAAGTTCAAGAATTCTGTATCCGGGAGTTCTTGGCAACGAGAGAGGGAGGGTTGCACCAATTTATTCCCCCCCTTTTGTACAAAAAAAAACGGAGAAAAACCGAAGGAACGGGGTCGGTAAGTATCAGCATTGAGGTCTTATAATGGCTTGGAGTGGTAGCCAAACACACGAAGATAGGGTTTTCAAACTACAGTGGAAGGTGAGAGTCTCAAAGGCAAATATTCGCAAACATTCATATCTCCGGAAATTTCGCGTCGTCAAAACAACAGTACGCTCTGTTCTCGTCTCTTCTATCCCCTCCTGTCACTGTTAAGCACTTTCTTCGTCTACCATGCAGCACCAACCAGCCCAATTAAGCACTTTGTTAGAGTACTTCCGTTCTCAATCCAAATGCACTGGTGGGCATTTGCCTTCAAAACCAAGTCGTTTTCTACTATCTATGATAGCATCCATGGCAGTTTTGTTCGCAGCATTTGTGGAAAGCAACGTCGCTTTCACTGGTCCAAGGTTCTACATGCGTGCACTTTCAGAGTTCTGTAAGTTACGTGGTTGCCATACATGAACGTGTCAAGAGCGACTGCGGTTTTACCCACAGCAGTTGTGGCAAACGATCACCGCAGTTCTGACAGTGCATACGCTGCTCTTGGCCTTCGTTCGACGGTTTTGGTGCTAAAGTTCATACGACCCGCCGCGATGAGAAAAAGTATTCGGAACATCCGAATTTTGGCCTAATGGACATGTTGAAATTTAGCTGGGGAATTTGAAAAAATAGTATCTGCCGCTGTCACATCACTGAGATCCTACTGTACATTTAAATGAGCATCTCCTAAATACAACAAAATGTGATGGATTTTCGAAACGCCTGGATCGAAAAGGGCTGAATTTTTGTCAATGCAGTCAGATCACACTCAGAAATTTTGATTTCCGGGAGCTTTTCCTGACAACCCTACAAATGTAAAAACTGGTCGAAATTTGGGAGACATGGCAGGTATGAAGCTGTTCTTTCAAAGTAAGGCTTGTTTTCACTCGACCATTTTTGTTCATTTGTTCAAATTCAACGCAGAAATTTAACAGCAAGCTTACTCATCCCCAAATCTTTCGCTAAAATTCCCTGAACCGAGCTCCAAGTCATATCAGAAAAGTTCACCAACTTTTCAATGGGGTGAACTTTTCAATGGTCCATCGTCTGTCTTCAAGCACAAGCACACAAAATATTGATATATTAGTTCATCCAGGGCTTGTGTGAATAGTGATTTTTAGCTTTAAAGCAAATTCAAAGGTAACAGTGATATTGGTCAAATAATTTTGAATCGAATTCAAAAAGCATGTATTTTATGTTTTGCGGAAAAATGGGCATATTTGTCAGGATCAAACTAACCTGACCTTCGCTGGAATGCAAGTGATGACCTGTAAAATATGTTATGTTTTCAAATTTCCTATACTGAGAGCCTATAAGCCAAATAGCAAGCTTTATAGCTAAAAAATAATAAAACATATGTTCATATAGTCTTCAAATGGGGCTTCATGGCAATACAGATTTCCCCTGAGTAAGTGCTTTCACGGCTTAGTACAACTCCACTGCAATGAAACCACCTTTACAGAAAATTACATACATTTACTAGTTTATTTTGAATATTTTTAAGTTTTTCAATAAATTTCAATCGAAGCAAGTTCAAATACTGTAATATTCACACAAGCCTATACGGTTCATAAAGTTGGTGGACTTCTAGAACAAGGTTTGTCATGAATTGACATTTCCCCTCATACTAAAAAAAAAAAAAAAAAATCTGTCACACTGTTTAAGTTTTTCTTATCGCAGATTCCTTGTGAACAGCGTTTACTACTGCAATAAAGTTGACTGTGTAATAGTTGTAGATTCATTTTGCCATAGCACAAAACAAATTTTACAGCCACCCATTGTTCATATGAATTGGCCATCATAAAAAGTGACAGTTCTGCAGCAAGGGCGAAGCAATGCATGTGATAGCATTAACTTGGAATGTAACGCTGAGAATGGCTGGCAGATCAAAACGTGCAGCGTGCTGCTCACGCACACATGACACATGAAAACAACACACACAAGACGATGGCTAACTAACAACGTTTACGACTCGACGTTTAACACACTGTTTAAACAAAAATGATGCATGAAATTAAATCATAGGTATAAATATAAGTGCGAACTAACAAGTGTCCCAGTTGTTACTTCGCTGTGTTTGAAAAGTGCGCTCTTTCACAAACGGGGCCTGCCCAGTGAGTGAAGTTGACCTTTGTGGCCCAGGCAACTAACGCAATCATTTCGGTGAAAGGCCAAGGCACACGATTCTCCCCACCGAAGAATAAGCGTGAGCGCACAAGCACCAAACCCTCCCCCCCTGCCCCGATGTGCGGGGCAAAGTACCCATGGAAGACAAGCGCGCCTTGGCGCATCGTGACGAGCTGGGCACCGAGCGCGGGCAGCTTTTTTATTTCTTTCTTGTGTTTTCCTATATATACATACGTATACATATATAGTGCATGACGGCAGCTTTGGCAACGGCAAAAACCAGTGGAGACTGTCCATATAATGGCTATTGCAATAAAAACAAATTTTTTTAAAATCTGCATGCCAAACTGATTTCACAAAAAAAATTTCGAGAAAATCAATCAGATACACTTGAAAGAAGTTGCGTGACATTTCTTCGGTGCTAGAATTGCATTCCGCCCAGTGCAGTGCTGTTACGGTTACTTTTGGATATGCCCTCACAGATTTATAATTTATCATAGATGGCTAAATACTGCAAATCATTCCAATATCACTCTAATGTGTTCCAAATGACCTGTGAGCTTAGCTAAAACTTGCTTTCGACAGAAAAAGCCCGTATATTCCACCTTTCAATCAAATACTCTCATAGGCTTCTGGTCTTGCCATCACACTGCATTACTGTTAAACATTAATTCAATTCTACTTGCCTTGACATCAATCAGCCTAAAAAGCATAGCTACAAAATACTACCTGTCCATGTAATACAGAGGACTCCCTTTAAGATGAACTCGAAGGGACCATAAAGAATTGTTCGTCTTATCAGAAGCACCCTCAAACAAAGAATCGGCACCATACTAAAGTGCATGCAAGTATCTTAATTCAAAATAAAGAATCAAGTCCACTTACATCAAAGAAAAAAAAAAGACTAAAAAATGATTTATTTACGAGAGTCACTTTAAAGACAACTGCGTTCAAGTGCTCTTGTTAGGCTTTACAACATCCGTAACTGATGTCTGTCGCTGTTGTGCGCAGCGGCGAGCAGCCACAAATAAAGGCATATCTCCAAGTGACTTTAAGAGCACTTAAGTTCCTTCAAACTGCTCAAAATAGTTTTTTAAGGAACTAAGGTAGGCATCTGCTGCATTATTGGCCACTGGCGCAGGCCACATGCGGGCATCTTCCTCGTCGTTCGACGTTACACCCGAACGCTCCTCAAGCACCTCTTGAATTAATGTGTCCAATCCATCTTCTCTACACGTTGGCACATCTTCGTCGACGCTGGTATAACTGCCCATGTTCACGACGAGTCCCTTGCTGTCCAGAGTGGCAACCAAGTTCATCTCTTCCTCATCGTCTTCACAATTAAGATCCTGATCTGAATACTTGGGCACCACAAACCGTGCGTGACGGAACGAGTTCATGATCGTCGAGTCAGTCAACTGACTCCAGGCATTTGCGAGGAGGTCAAGCGCTGTCAGTCCATGTCGTTTCTTGAAGCTATCGAGCCATTCGTCAAAGCAGGCAAACTGAATGCCCATTCGCAGGGCGGTTTCTTCCGCTTTTGCCTTCAGTACAACGCCATTCAGAGGTATATTCATGATTCATGCTACGGGTACGTTGAATCCAAGTGAGGAGAACATCTTCCAAGCCCTTATGCGCAGCCATCCGCATCTTCTTCTGCTTCGGAGCAAAATCACCATCAATCAATGCAGCAGTTACCCGCCCACTATCCTTTATGACGCCAGATAGCGTGCTCTTGGCAATTCCAAACTTCCGTGCGATTACGGTTTTCGAAACCTTGCCAGCTTTCACTTCAGCCAATATCTCCGTTTTTTTTTTAAAGCGCGGTTGGCTTTCTCTGAAGAGTTGGCTTACTGGTCATTTTTAACAGGCCTATTGAGATGAAGCACACAAAGCGCAAGAGATGGCCAACGTGCAACAGCTGGCTCGGCGCAGAGAGAAAACTCGTTTCCTCAGCGTTGGCGAGATAGGAGAAGCGGAGAACATCCACGCGAAGAGGGCTGTGTGCCGTAAACTCACGTGCTTTCGCTCCGAAACGACATTGGTCAGGAAGCTGCTCCATTTGTGAATAGAAAGACTCAGTCGTCGTTTTTTTTTTTTCCTGTTCGCTTTTGGCGTTTTACTTCGGGGCTGCCGTACAAACTGTGTTTTCTTTTTTGTTGCTTTTCTGCCCGCTCCGCAGTTTGAAGGGGGCTGCAGGTGGTGGCTCACTCCATTCCTCCCTCTACCAGCTGCGGCACTGGTTTGCTTTGGGCCAGTTTTTTTTTTAGGGGCGAAGCTCCTTAAGGCATGGGTCGTGCGTCCCACCGTAAGTGTATGTAGCCACCTCTTGTTAGGTCTTGTATATATAATGTTAGGGCGGCACTTGTACTTATAACGAATGCATATATGCTGAAAATCTAAGATACTAGATGGCGTTACTTGTAGTATGATGCGCGCAAGGCAGCGATGGCTTGCGCTAGAAGACAGAACCCCGATGTGTGAGCGCGCGAGAAAATAGGAATGACGTCACATGAAGACATTAACGATTGCGTGTATGTCGGAGGCGCCGTATGCTAGGTGGTTCGGTGTATTAAAATAAAAACCGTTTTTGTGCACGCGCGCATTCAAAAGGTTGGCAGATGGACAAGGCTGCAGGATGGCGTGCGCACAAGGTGACAGCAGCTCGCTCGAAGACGGAACCCCGATGTGCGAGCGTGCGAGGCAGAAGCATGCCGTGAAGCTGCACGGCGGCGCTGACAGGATCCCGATGTGCGAGCGCAGGACGCCGAAGCAGCGCCAGGCGGCACGAGAAGCTGTACCTGGCACCCAATCTTCCAATCGAAGACGTCAAAAGGTTCATCGACCAGGACATGCGCATATACAACAGGTCAAGACTGTTCCTGCTCGTCGGCGACTTTAACGTCGACATATCGGACCTGAACAAACATTGGTTGATGCAATACAAGATGAGCACGTACGGACTCAGGTGCATCTCCTTTGATCACCCCGATCACAAGACGACCGACCATCAGGGGAACGTGCATCGATGTCGTGTTTGCAAACTTTCACGCACAACCAGTGCAAGAACCGCTTTCGGTGCATTTCACCGACCATAAGGCGGTCATAATGAAAGCAAAACGAAAACCTAAAGTAATATTCAACAATGTTTAATAAACATTGCTTAATCACATTTTACTCACAAGTTTCATTTGAAGCGTGGAGCGAGGTATTTTGAATAGCAAGAACTTCGCCACACTCTTCAGACACCCCGTGGGTATGCCGCCTTTTTTTTTTCTTGCTTTATTTTTTTTTTTTTGTCACTTTGTTTCCAATTGCGAAGCGAATTGCCAGCGGGGGCAGCCTCCACCAAAATGTTGATCTTAACAGAAGAGTGGGTACAAGGCGGTTTGTCTTTAGCAGATTTTTTTTGCATCGGGTCTATTGAAAACCAAACAAATGTTCCCACGTTCGTGATAAGCAAGAATTGGTCTTAAACAAGTTCGTATTAACGGGAGTTCACTGTACACTCAGACCTTGATATAATGAATTTTTACATGACGAATTACCCTTCGAATACAACAAACTGTTTTTGTGGCAGATGTGACTGTTATAATGAGGCAATCAAAGTCACTTGTAGTCATATTGATTTTAACAATTTATTCAACAAAGCAGTGAAGAGCTGCTGCACAGTGAACATTCCCCTGTCCTCTATTGTGAAATAAACTGCTCACTGAAACTTTGCCACGCTGCATTATCAGGTTTAGCAACTAAATCTGGCTCCAGTGCATTTGCTCAGGAAGTATTTGGAAAAACTGTATTTTGCAGAACGGGCTTGTACACACCTCAAGGAAAGAGTTCTGGAAGACCATTTTCGTGTAGGGCACAACTGAGAAAACACGATGGAAAGCCGGTGCAATGAATGGCAGGTATGGGTACAGGGAGTAGTTCTGTAGGTGTTGCACTGTGGTCAGCAGCTGATCTGTGAAGCACAACCATTCAGGGCCTTCATGGATCTGTCAAAAAAGCACAAAAAAAGAACAAGCTACATGAAACTGAACAAGCATCCAACCAATAAAATACATTAGAACAAGCACGTGACATTGAGCTGTGGAAAATGGACTGCTATCCTTTCAGCAATGAGAAGCTGCTGAATAAAGACTTTGCTAAAGCCAACATTTTGACAAGAGAACCTGTCTTTCCAGGGGCAGCTACTGCTTTCCTTAGCAGTGTTCTTATGTATGCTTTACTCACTCTCCCAAATACTCTAGGGTTGAGGGAAGGGGGAATAAGCCGGTGCAAAGAGAAGGGTAACACATTTAATCTCCCTCTCTGAGCAGCATCCCCGAGGCAAAGGGATGACTGGCAAAACAAAAAAAATGTGCAGCTTGTGCAAGGTTGGGTCACAGCAAAGCTGGCTGGAACCAATCTGGTCCTGTCTCTTTCCTTCCCCTACACCTCGCTATATTGTACTACTCATGGCTACGCTTGCTCTTTTTTCTTTTACAGCAAAATCAGTTATATTATCATAACAACGGCTGATTCTGGCGCCGTGGTTGTCCCCACTGCCGGTGTCCGTAACCAATATCAGGGGAAGAAGAAAAATAACTAAATAAAAAAAAAACACAGAGGACAGAATAAGAATCGAACCAGAGTCTTCTGCGTGGCAGCCCAGTACTCTACCACTGAGCTGCACCAGTGCATGAAACTCCGTTGTAAACTGACCCAACGCAGGCTTCATATCGGGTAAGGAATTGCGTGAACATGTGTAATACAGCGTTTTAGAGGAGAAACGCAACAGCCATGCGTCACACAATAGAAACTGTGCAACGAGTACGTTGTTGAATGCTCCAACCCATTACAAAAGCTTGAGGCATATTTCTTCCTCGTCGTCAGGCCCAGCATCAATAAAGTGCACGTATCTGTCTTTCGATAAACTCAAACCCACAAGGAACAGCCACAATCTCAACCTGATACTATTCCATCCACATTCTAACCTATTTAAATTCCGCTTCTTCCTACACACTACAAAGAATTGAATATATTGCCCGGGTCATCTAGATCATTGCCTTTATTAATATTTCTTGAATAAATCTATTGATTCGTGCTTTGTGTATCAATAGTTTCATTCTTGATAATTTGATAGTCTGTTTATTTCTTATTTCTTCTTTACTTGTACTGCAATGCCTTTCTGTTTGTATTTTGCTGTAAAAGATACCCACTCCTGCAATAATCCAAATTGAGCTGCAGTATGTAAAAAATAAATAATGTTTCACAAGTGTGTAGCAGGTGCCAAGCTTTTCAATAAATGACGAAGAATGGTATAGTGGATGCTTCCCAAGTACACAACATATTTGTTTCTTTATGGCGTAGTGGTTACCATGCAAGTGCACTTGTTGTAATTGCTCCAAGAGTGTTTAAAAAATGGCACTAGAAAGGCTGCTCTTCCAGCTTTCACTGTGACTGTACTGGCGGAATGAGGCCTGGCGGAACACATAGTTCTTTTTCTAGTTATTTCTATCTATTTCTTACTTCCTTCATTTTTTCATTTCCTTTATTCTAAATATGGCTTTCTTTCTCTCTTGTTTCACTTTCAGTCCTGTTCTCCGTTTCTGGCTTCCTTTCTATCGAACTTCTCTTTCTATCTCTTTGTCCTTCTTCCCTTTCTTTATCTGCGTTTCTCTCATTCTGTGCTATGATTTACTCTCCCCCTTTCTCACCCTCACAGCTCTGCTTCTTTGCTTTACTGCCTCCTTGCTATGCTATACCATACAAGACTATGCTATGCTGTGCCAACGTGCCTGGACAGCAGCATGGTTACAAAACTCACGTTTGGATTGTAAGTACACAGATTTGAATTTCGGCTCACCAAGAATTTGTCTCTCTCTCTTTGTTTTTCTTTTTCTGTACACATTCTCTCATCCATCAGAGCCATTGCATCCCACGCCAGACAAACCGGCGCATGTCTTCCGGCAGTGAAGCCAAAGAGGATGAGGAGAGCGCGTGCTGGTTCATGACGATAGTTTTCTAATCAACAGCCCACGGCAAACTTCGAGCATAACATCTCTGCTTTGAAAGTTAAAATTTCATTGCAAATGAAACCCAGGTTTTGTTGACGAATGTTTGAGAGATGTGCTGAAATCCGCAATGTGACTAACCTACATGTATCCAAAGAGACTGAAATGAAATTTTATTGAACATATTCCCCAGTGTGGTTTTCGGAAAAAGTACATTGGTGCTGTTTGAAACATCAATGCAGTTTTCTCAAAGCACCCTACCCTGACTGCATAGTGTTGCATCAAGACAAAGGAATGCTGTCAATGTTTCCAATACTTTTCCAGTCCGCAGACAATAAATACACTTACCAGTTCGAAACGGGGATCCCGAAAGCTCACGTTGATATAATTGTCAAAAAGAGACTGAATGAGCTTCTCGTAGTCTCCAAACCCTTGCGCTGCTCGAGCTAGGGACTCAAACCTAGGTTTTTGCAGAGCAAGTGAGAAATGAGCATTTATTTTCTGGCAAGAGCAAATGTATTGAAAGAAACATGTGTGCAGGGCCCAAAGGAAATACTGTTTTATAATAGAGAGACAGAGTAAAACACAAACAAACTGTCAGTTCACAGTTTCAGAAAAATACTACAGATCAATTGGTTTTTTGTTGGCATTCGCTGACAAGAAACAATTATGAACACCATACTTCTCCAAACTCAACTGAATATACAATGTGTTGTTGATTTTACAATTTCATAGGTGGGGTGAATAACAATTTAGAAGTATCACATGCTCTGTCATGAAAACTGGCAAAGCATGATGATGATGAAAGGCTCGTCTTGTGTCTTTCTATTTCTCTGTCTTCGTTTTTTCGCACTGTTTACCTCGAACAATGAACCGTTACCACCTTGCCAGTTTTCAATACCACTTATGATTTATCACTTCATCAGTAACAGTAGAATGCAAAGTATAGCTTTTGCAGCACGAATTTCATAAGGCACCATGAATTTCAAACTGAGCAACATATTGGTAGCCTGTCGTATATAATATAACCACTGTAGAACTATCGCGAAACTAGAGCAGCAAGGTATACTACATAACATGAGCCTCATAGAAGTCCAGAGGTTGAAGACAATGTAAAACATTTACAATTAGTACTTTATCATTTATATTTCTTAATCAATTCTATTTCTTAACCATTGATATAGTAGTTTGAAGGGCCACTGCAACACTTCTTCAACGTAGTCAGAAAATGTCGCCTATACACTCCATGCACTGCGACTGGCGCGCCGCCATGCAGCAATCAGAGTAGACAGCCATTGAGAGCCCAAGCAGAACCAAACGCTCCCAATGTCTGCTATCCCATAGTTTATCGGAGTCATGAACTGCTGCGTAATCGATAGTACCAACAGGTGCACGTCGTGTCCTGCGAGAACGACGTTTTACAGTTTCTCAACTTGTTCCTGCTTTATTGTACAGCGAAGTGAGCGGATCACGGCAGTGCGATGTGAAAAGTGTTTCGTTCCCGCTCCCTCTGCCATCTCCTGTTCTGCAGCTGCATGCTTGAATCGGTCTGAGACACTACCTTTGCAGGTGCACTGACATTGAATGATATTCCTACTGCCATAGAGCTGGTGAGAAAAGAAACGCAAGGCATTTCAATTCAGCTCAAGGCTGATGGCACGTTTTAATGGACCTCAATAATTATTAACTCACTGTCTACCCTTCGCAGTTTTGGTGAATCAAATGCGAGGTCAATTAGTGCTTTGCTGGGTTTATAGAACTACCACATAAGGGGTAAACTGAGTTACGTAGCATATTATCGAAAACACATCTAGCCACCCAGCAGAGCTATGCGCACTCGGTAGGATCAAGCTAGGACGTTGGTTCGTTGATTGGTTGGTTGACTTTTATTAAACCGGCACAACCCACCATTGCAGATCGGCCATGAAATGGGTGGTGCCTTGTTATATAAATAAATTTTTTTTTTAATCTCAAAATGTTAAGCAATTACCCTAACTCACGAAAAAAAAAAAAAAAACACTAATGCTGTTGAAGAATAAGCTTGATTTAGATAACCTTAGCACTCAATTCCTTTCGTCTCACGTAGCAAATCGCATACGGCATCACAGATGCTCCTGTGGCTGAAACCCAGTGATGTAGCCCTAAAATAAAGAACCACCAGAAGTGAGAAATTTAATCCCATCTTTCAGAGTGGTTCATCCAGAAGTCTTCTTTTTTGATTGGTAAACAATTGGATGTTTTGAAGAAATGATGCAGGGCATATTGTCACGGGGTCGTGACGTGGCCGAAGACAGGAGACTTTATGTTGGGATTTAACTGTTTCTTTGGGCGAACCTGTGCCCGGTCAACAGAAAATTCAATTACAGTAGCATTGCACAGATAGCAGTGAACGGAGCGTCAGCCGTCGATCAACTACTGACAAGCGGCGAAGCGCGTCAGCATTTATACTCTTGCCGTCGAATGTTCTAGCGTTATCGCTGGCGGTGGCGTAGGTTCCAGAATAATCTGTACCGTACGCAGAGTGGGCGTGATCTTATTGAAATGATCTACTACAGTCCGGAAGCTTCTCGAAAACTGCAGGCACGGTTTGCGCTGAGAATTGTGTAGTGTTTTGGGACGATAACAAAACTTGGGAAATGAAACGCGTGGCATTGCCCCCCTCAGAAAAAGGCATCGTCCTGATGCTTTAACTAAAGATGAAGGTACAACAATAATGCAAGAAAATACAATGATTAAATTACGATACAATATAATACAAAAAACACTGTTTCAGTTTGTTAACACGCATGAAACGGCTTGAGGCGCGCGACATGCACAACTTCAGGTCGCGATCGTCGTCGTTGAGAGTTCGTGATGCCGCCAGAGACAACCTCGTAATCAAGTGGGTCGAGACGTCGAACCACCCAGTACGGTCCGAAGTACCGTCGCAGAAGCTTTTCACTTAGTCCACGTCGACGTCCACACCCAAACAAGTTCACCGGGCTGGTATTCCACGAAGCATCGTCGAAGATTGTAACGGCGGCTGTCGGTCGTCTGTTGATTCTTGATACAGAGACGCGCGAGTTGTCGGGCTTCTTTGGCACGTTGAAGGTACTCACTCACATCGAGGTTTTCTTCGTCGGTGACGTTGGGTAACATGGCATCGAGCGTCGTTGCCGGGCTCCTTCCGTAGACCAATTTGTATGGAGATATCTTCGTCGTCTCCTGCACCGCCGTGTTGTATGCGAAGGTCACATACGGAAGAATGGCGTCCCACGTCTTGTGTTCGACATCGACTTACATTGCCAGCATGTCGCCGATCGTCTTGTTAAGCCGTTCGGTGAGGCCGTTGGTCTGTGGGTGGTATGCTGTCGTCCGGTGGTAGTTTGTCTGGCTGTATGCCAAGATCGCTTGAGTTAAGTCAGCAGTAAATGCCGTTCCTCTGTCAGTGATAAGAACCTCCGGGGCGCCGTGACGTAGGACGATATTTTCGACGAAGAACTTAGCTACCTCGGATGCACTGCCTTTGGGAAGGGCCTTTGTCTCGGCGTAGCGGGTGAGGTAGTCGGTAGCTACCACGATCCACTTGTTTCCGAAAGCCGACGTCGGGAACGGCCCCAGTAGGTCCATACCAATCTGCTGGAAAGGTCGGCAAGGTGGTTCAATTGGCTGCAGAAGTCCCGCTGGCCTTGTCGGTGGTGTCTTGCGTCGCTGACAGTCCCGGCATGTCCTCACATAACGAGTGACGTCGGTGGTAAGACGTGGCCAGTAGTACCTTTCTTGTATCCTCGCGAGCGTGCGAGAAACACCGAGGTGCCCTGCCGTCGGATCGTCGTGCAGGGCCTGCAGGAGTTCTGGTCGCAGAGCTGAAGGCACCACAAGGAGGTACTTAGCTCGAAGCGGTGAAAAGTTTTTCTTTTGTAGAAGACCGTTTCGCAGGAAGAACAACGCAAGTGCGCGCTTGAATACCTTCGGGACTTCGGCGGTCCTGCCTTCGAGGTATTCTATTAGGGCCTTAAGTTCCCGGTCGGCCCGCTGTAGTTCAGCGAAGTCGTCGGTAGTTATCGTTCCTAAGAAGTAGTCGTCATCCGGGTCGTCGGGTGGTGGTTGTTCGACAGGCACACGAGAGAGACCTGCGTGAAACGATCCGAGCGATCGTGCGGGAAGAGCGATAGTGCGGAAAGATTCGATCGCCGACATAGTGCGAGAAGAAGTTCGGCAATCGCTTCGAATTCCCCAAGCACCGCTGCCCGAGCCGGAAGCTATGAGCTACGCCGCTGCAGTGCGCCACAACGCTTCTCCCCGTCCACGCCAAAACGCCGCCCCATCGCACTTCCATCGACAGACACCACCGCCGCCACCACCCCCACTGACGTCATACCGTTCGCCAGCGGCCCAGCGCAGTGCGCCGAGGCCGGACACACATACCACCGTTGCCAGTACCGACAGATGGGACTGCGTGGCTTCGCCGTCAATGCACCGCGTCCACAACCAGGAGAACGACCACGTGACATCGCCGACTACCTGACAGAAACTCATTGGACACCACGAAGCCCTTCCCGTTCGCCGTCGCCCAGCCGCCGCACGTCACCGCACTACCGGCAGTACTCTGGCCAAATGCGGGGCCGGTCTCTTAGCCCACATCCGGGAAACTAAGGGCAGCAATTGATGGAGGTGCGGTTGCTGAGCGACGAACTACCGAAGATCCTCCGATGATGACGCCGCCGCGACGGAGCTTTCCGAACACAACGCCAATCGGGCAAAGCCCTGACGGCGAAACCTCACTTACCGAAGATGACCTGACTACGCAACATGGAAGCAGCGGAACAAGCCGACGCAGCCGTGACCCAACGCCACGCCCTAACTGTAATGCGAGACGGCGAACTAGCAACCTCGACGTTCTCATCGACGGCCACAGTGTGACCGCTCTCGTGGATACTGAAGCCGACTACTCCGTCAACAGTAGGTCGTTCGCCGCGAAGTTAAAGAAACTTAGGACAGCTTGGAAAGGCCCTGAAATCCGCACAGCTGGAGGTCATCTCGTAACGCCTGCAGGAATCTGCACAGCGAGAGTCACCATGAACGGCCGTATTTATCCTGCAGACTTCGTAGTCCTACAGCGCTGCTCGAGAGATGTCATCCTTGGCATGGACTTCTTATGACTCCATTGTGCTGTCATCAACCTAAGAACACAGTCGATAACGTTATCCACAGAAGAAGCACTACCGCCGCGCACGCCATCAGGAAATCATGCCTTGAACGTACTGGAAGAACAAGTCACCATTCCGCCTCGCTCAAGCGTCATTATTTCAGTCGGCGCTCCTAAATCACCCGACTTGGAAGGCATCGTTGAAGACAGTCAGCATCTGTTGGTCACCCGAAATATTTGCGTCGCAAGAGGAATTGCAGAGCTGCGGGGAGGCAAAGCAACAGTTATGCTCACGAATTTCAGCAATGAGTACAAACACGTGAACAATGGAA